ACCCTCTGTCGTCAACGCTGAATCAGCGAAAGAAAACCATAAATTAGGGAATTTCGGGGGATTTGAAACATGTTCTAACACAGAATATTCAATTGTCAGCCGAAGGCTCTCTTCAACATGGGTCTGACCAGCGGAGGCAGTGGGCCTGNAGGTCGATCCTTCATCCAGGGAGTCATACTGACTGTCTAAGATTAAGAAACTGAAGCGAAACAAAGCGTTTCACGGATACCCTATGCTCCAAAGTGAGAGCAAGAGGAAAGGGAGAAGAGATAGAGATACAAACAAACTCCGTGGTTTTAGGCCGCAAGCGAACTATACCGACCGAGCGACCGCCCTTATCGGCGAAGTTAATGCCAAATTTGGCGGATAGAGGGTGTCGCGTGGTCAGCGCAACGAATCCCNGCCTGCATCTTGGACTACAGGTGGGTTTGTTTACGCATAATAGCCATGCTGATTGATAATATCGTTGTTTCATAGTATTGGCGATAACAGTGTTGTTGAGCTATTTGAATGCGCAATCTCGAGTGTACCCAGTGAGCCCTTAGGGTAGGAAACTAGGATCGTGTAGANTAAAATCTGGTCGCGCCGAGAATCGAACCCGGACCTCTGACCACTAGACCACAGTTTTTATTTCCTAGGTAAGGCCGTTGACCTCTCGAGCACTGGGATCGTGGGTTCAAATGGTCAATACTCGGCCCATGGACATATGTTTGGGGTTTCTGTCTGTGGGTGGAGGGGACCTTCCCGCCCGAGGAGCCGTACCAGATGTCTATGACGTTAATAGTTTCAGAGGTTAATTCCGAAATTGCGCAGGCCAGAAGGCTTAATCCATTTTTTTTCCTTGGCACTACAGCCCTAGTGGGCCTAGGCCTACCTGCATGAACTTCTCCGTTCACTTCGGTTTTTCTAGATCTTACACATTCGGTAGGACTCCTTGGGCGGGTGATCAGCTCGTCGCAAGGCCTCTACCTGTACACAAACACAGAAAAACGCACACACACACAAACTAAACATCCATGCCCTGAGTGGGATTCGAACCTACGAACCCGGTTTCGAAGCGAGCGAAGACAGTACATGCCTTAGACCGCTCGGCTACCGTTAATTTGAAGAATTCCTGAACGAGAATACCTGTATAATGATGTCTGAAGATTACAAATATTGTTATCTGAGCGTCAAAGTGACTTTATATGAGATATAAACGTCTTCACAGGCGACTGGCTGCAATGGGGTCTTTATGGGCGTCCTGTCCCTGGCACTGGTCAGTCTCAGGGAGACAAACTCCGATACGTCGGGGTTTCTTGTATACTCCCTATCGATGTCATTGTCCCCCTGAGAGGATTCTTTTGCGAAAGGGTGCGTCATTGTTTTGTAGGGAACCGTTAAGTGAGTTCTGTAACATTATTCATTTTGTTAGATTTGAGGCTTTCACGGCGGTGACTATGAAGAAAGCAGTCTTCTGGGATTTGACACCGTGTATATGTGGTGTTAACCGACGTTTCGGAGGAACGTATCGCCTCCATCTTCAGGGTAGAAGGAAAAATATAAGAAATCCGCAAGCGAAGAGACCGTGAGAACCGGTAAAAGCAGTGTTCCTTCTACCCTTAAGATGGAGGCGATACGTTCCTCCGAAACGTCGGTTAACACCACATATACACGGTGCCAAATCCCAGAAGACTGCTTTCTTCATTATTCATTTTATAGGGAATCTGAAATGTGTCGATACTGGGGGAAGACTCGTTTTTAGAAGCTCCGCGTTTCATCGTGTGTTTTTATCTGAGGAATGTAAAGGCTGCTGTTTACTGTTTCTGTATTTCCAGCACCCACCGTTTGTTGCTTCTCGCTTTTAACATGCTGTATTTTTATTATTGATCTACTACGTTCGCTTTATAATAAAATCATGACATTCGTACATGGCTATCCTGATAGAAATACAGTAAACCCTCGTTATAACGAACAGTAGCGAGGACAGGATGTCCGTTATAACCGAGTGAAGGAGTATTCACGGAAGTACGTCAGAGGATACATAGTCGATACATGCAATAGACGTAGAAACACAGTGTGATTACATAAAGGTTTTATATTGGGGTTCTTTTTTATTTTAAATATTTTTCTAACTACAAAACCTTTTTGGTGCTTCAACAGCTTTAAAAATTCAGGGTTGTACACAGCCAGACTTTGTTTTTAAATACAGAACATTGTTGTATAGACTGCTTCCTTTTATACACATCTATAAATTGTGGCTGAAACCGACCTGTTGGCTCCAAATCATGGCGTTGACTGGTTCTGTAGGAAGTGTGCGAGTCACGCTGCTGCTTGGAAGACAAAAACAAACGTAAAGCAGAACCCACTGTTATGGAAGCATTTTCATTCTTGCATGTACGTACGGAGTGATGTTAGTCTTATTTCAGAAATCCGACGTCATCGTTTCGTATTTGTTTATGTATGAAGTGTCCTTAACGGGAAATGCGCTTGGCGTTTCTGATGCGGAAGGTGATTTTATTTAAGAAACAGTCTCTGTCTCTCTCTTATGTCGTGTCACATTAGTTTTATTCGTGCGGTTAACAATAAGGCTTCCACGCCATTTCACTTGATAAAAATTCTCGGATTGCTTTGTGGTTCTGACCTATTGTAGCTGTTAAATTTCGTACACAAAATTGATACTATCCAAGTGGTATATATTGTGACGCATAGACCCATTGCTAGGCAACGCCCGTAATATACACGTGGCCAACAATACTGTTTTCTATGCAGGTCCGACCCGAGGCTATATAACAGGAGTCAGAGAGGATGATATTTTACCCCCGTGTGGAGGCGGTGTCGAATACCTCCAGCGTGACCCTGCGAGTCGTAGGTGTACGGAAAGGGAAGTCTCATGTCTGAGACAGCAAAATATGGTCGCGAGTACCAAGGGACTCAGACCCGAGAAAGACTGCGCTGGCAAGGGCCAGCAGCATATACAAAAAGCAGACCCGTCCTCTCGTCAGAGAGGGCGCCCCACAAAAACAAGATCGTAAATACAACAGAAATAAATACCTGGTCATGAGCCCCAGTTGGAGCTCGACACCAAGACTTACTGACTGACAGACCGTCAATCGCAGTGTGACTTTTTTTCCCCCTAGGCACTACAGCCCCAGTGGGCCTAGGCCTACCTCCATGAACTCCGTTCACTTCGGTTTTTCTAGATCTTACACATTCGGTAGGACTCCTTGGACGGGTGATCAGCCCGTCG